GTTAATAAACAGATGATTCAAAATAAAGAGGGTGATGGGAAATATTAGAGAAGGCCCCTGGGTAGAGTTGCAAACATACCATTGACAATTTTGTCACCTTCAAAGGACCTCTTTAATGGCGTGGCTGATACACTACCTACCTCATAGGGTTGTTGTGAGGTACACATTTATCTAAAGTGATTAGAACAATTCCTGGAACTTGGTATGTGCTCTGCAAGTCATGATCACCATCAATTACTAATATGCTAGTTGGCCCTATTATTCAGGGTTTAAGGGCAATAATCTCCTCCCTAGATGTGAACCCCTGAAGGTTCACAGGTCTTTTCTTTCATTCATAATGTACTCATATTAAGACTCTTCTAAATTCCAAGCACAGTGCTAAGTCCTGGGGAACATAAATATGACTGAGATATAGTGCTGACACACAGCAAAGAATCTTCTGGAATCCTCTAGATCATTTTTATCTTCGGGGATTAGAAGCAGATCCTGATCACCAGATACCTGGACCAGCACACACCTCTAGGCTCACCCTTCCATTTGAACAAAAAGCCCACTTCCAGTGGGGTCGCCTCCGAGTTGTAACCATCTCAACTGCAAAGGAGCACACACACAGGGCATCACATAATTATGTTTAATGTCCAGAGTTTATAATATAGAAGACAGAGCCTTCTCCCAGACTGAAGTTTATAAATTCTCAATTGGCTTGTGAGGCCAGTAGGGATACTTCTTTTTGTCTAATTTGGTTTCTGGGAAGACTTCATTCAAATCCTCAATGGTCATCTGGTCAAATGGAATTATGTTCCTCATCTTCTCTAGCTGGAAGGAAGGCAAACATGTTAAGGTAAACAAGGCTGCGAAGATGCAAAAAAGATTCCATGACAGGTCACCGCCCCTAAGTGGGAGAGGAAACATACCACAAGGCCAAAGCTCATCCTTACCTCTTTCTCATATTGCTCAATCCTGGCCTTTGAGAGAGACAAAAACTCAGCACAACTTTTCACCTTTAAAAGAAGGGAGAAATTCTGTTTTGAAACTGAGTTGAACTGTCCTAACCCTGAGACTCCCAAGGTCTGCGAAGTCCCAGCGGCAGACCACCCCTGCTCCCGTGACTACTGGGGGAAGCTCGCTTTGGGAGGCCAACTATATAACCTTTGCAAAATGCACAAGGAGGCCCACACGGGAGAACCAGCTTAGGATGGCAGGACCAGGGTCCCTCAGCAAGTTACTCGTCTAGGCAGCCTGCACAATGGCTGTGTTTCATGGGGCCTGGTTACCAAACGGTCAGGACAAGCCGCTTGACCACCCAGCCAGGCTGCTCTTTGGTCATGCCCCCTGAGCTCCAACATTTGGCCTTCAGTATTTTCAAGCACATTGTTTGGTATTTGAATATTACCTTAGATAATTTTCCCACCCAACTCCAACTCCTTCATTGTTTGTAACAGCTTTGCTGAGGCATAACTGATGTACAATAAAATGTACATGTTTAAAGAACACTACTTGGTCAGTTTTGATATATGTATCTGCCTGTGAAATCAGCCACGACCAAGAGAGAGAACAAATTGAATAGCCCCCTCTCTCCAATTCCCAGGCAACTACTGAGGTTGCATTTTCTCGTTTTATTTTCTCTCCTTTTAGTTCACTCTACCCCAACCTAGTGACAAAGAAATACAGAGCCATTAGGAATTAAAGATGATTTTAAAATAAGTAAGAGCCTCAACTACTTACATCTTCTTTTTCTTCAGCGTCCACCAGGGCGCTGTATTTATCCTCGGGCACAGGAACCTTCAGGGCATTAAACTACAAACACAGGCACAGTGAGTTGTCGCGAACATCCCCAGGCGCCCAAAGAAAGGGCTCAAGGCTGCTAACCCTTATAGACAACATAACAACACATTCTCCACTCCAAGGGGATACCAGTATGAATGTAGGGTGTTGTAGTGGAAAAAATTACTAAGACTGGGGAAGAGAGCTCAAGGTGCTTCTCGGCCCTGTTCCTAACTAACTGGAGACCTCAGACAATTCTTTATTACAATGAGCTTCAGTTTCCTCATCTGAAAAGGACCGTTGGACTGGCTGACCTCAAAAAACGGCCTCCTAGAGATTTGTAGTTTTAAAGAAATTATGATTTCTTTTAAGTGAACCCCTGTGGACATGGTGGAAGTAATGCTCGCATAATGGAGATAGAGATGGCCTCCTTAAACGACTGCTTCGGGTTAGAGCCCAGCACTCAGCAGCCGTGCCTGGCACAGCAGACCCTTGATAGGTTGACAAGAAATTACAGCTACAGGAGACAGTAAAGAAGGCAGCGCAGAGAAAGGAGAAAACTGTGAAAGAGTAGAAAAAGATGTCAGTTTTTCCCAAAGGGTGAGAAGAATGGGAACATTTAACGTGACAACCCTCTAGCCCCCTGCCCAAGGCCATACTGTATTGTTTCTTTGGATAAGAACCTGCTGAATGAACGGACTCTGAATTCTTTGCATGTATTCACCTTCAAATCAACTAGCGTAAGACCTTTGGCTACGTCGTCTACCTCTCCTGGGCTTCCTTTGGGATCTGAGTGTTTAACACCACCCTTCCTTCCTTGCTGTCAGCCTGCACATGGAATTATGTATCATCCTCCCCTCCCGGCCACAAGCCGCGTCGCCAGACCAGTGCTTTAGTTGACACCTTCCTGCCTGAAGTCTCACCTTCTTCTCAAAGTCATCTACCAAGCCGGCCTTTGCTATATTGGCCTTGTAGTACGCCCAGTCAATAGCAGGTGGGTTCTCAGGAAGGGCAGCCAACCTGCTCACATGGAAAAGCAAAAATTAAGATTGTTCTATGAGCAACACAAAATTCACACAATAATTTCCCCGTTCATTATTCCTATAGCCTGGACCTATCATCACACTTTCCTCTAGGAGGAAGAGCACAGAAATGCAAAAACAAAAATTACTTTTACTTGGTAAATACACGGATTTCGTCCTACTTTCTGTCAAAAAAGCATCAGAAAGTCGCAGTCATTTGTAACTGCAAATCACTGTTTTGTTTCCACATTACAGTGGCAAGTGAAGAGGCTCCCTCTCAGAAGGGTACTGACCTGGAGGTGAGGGTCTCATTCCAGGATTTCAGGGTGTTAGCAATGGCCTTCTGGTTTCGGGGTATTATCTCCCCAAAAGCTACCCAGTCAATGGCTTTCAGAGCAAGTTTCCGCCCGGCCATCTTGAGATCCTAGAAAACAAAATAGCTTAGATCAAAGCAGGGCTCTTGGGGAGAATCCCGTCAAGGTCACCTCATTCCCATGAAGTGCTTTAGGAGACCCGTCAGCATCCCCTGAGGGCGCGGTGGGTATATGAACTAAAGAAATTAGGATTACTAACTCAGCAAAGGAGGACAGTTTAGCTTTTCAAATTCAAGGTGGACGACCTGGCACATAAATACACCCTTTCCCCCTAAATGTCCCTCCCTCTATTCCGTGGCTCCTAACTCGTCCTTAAAAGCCCAGTTCCCTGGTGTTTGTTCTCCATGTACCTTTGGAAACTTTGCCAAAGCAATACGTTTACTTTACATATGCATTGCGTTACAGTTAATAATTTAATTCAAATGCATTTCCACTCAGATTGTGTTTTATTCACTGACTTTCCAGTGCAGAGAACAGACACACCCCCAAGTTCCCACAAGGTTTGAACAGAGCAGACTCTAGACCAAAATGTCCTCACCTGAAATACGACAATAACATCAGCCCTGCCTACCTGAGAAAGCTGTTGAAAGTATCACATGAAACTGTGCACGTCAATTTGCTCTACAGTCTTAGACAAACTTAAGGGGCTCTGTATTCCCCTTCTGTTGGATTCGTAATACACCTGTATTTCCTATTCATGTCTGATTTATCCCCTGCAGCACCAGCACATACCCTAAGTATTAGCAACCCCTTTAAAAGAGATATTCGATATACATATGAACGTGAGAAAAGATGGGAAATGATTACAGCCCTTTTAAAAAAATCCAAAACAGAATAAAGTAAAATAGTCAAACTAAATAATCAGACATTAGGAGAAAGACTGAAATGTCAAAGGTCTTTACAGGCCATGGGGTGGATCACAAGGGAGGTGGTAGTAAATCTTCCCCAGGACCTTAGAAATCGTCCGACACCTGCCGCTTCCTTTCCTTTCCTCCCAGGATAGCTTATGTTTCCTGGCATGGAGGCGAGAGGCAGGTGACTTAAAGATGCCAGAGGAATAAGCTTCCTAACAGACACTGTTCCAAGCCCCAGTAGCAGGTAGGCTTCATAAATGAAGGGATTGGTGTGTTTTATTTACTGCGGAACCCCCAGCGCCTAGAACTGCTTATGCACACGGGAGGTGCTCAATGACCATTTGTTGAAGGATTACAGGAAGCCTGCACTTGAGAAGCTCCGAACGGCCCACACGCTCGAAAGCTGGGACCCTGAGGAGGGAGGGGAAGGTATATCGAGTCATATAACTAACTTCAGGTAACGTTTCTCCAGCCCCCAAACTGGACTGCTGCAGTCGGTCGCTCCGGGGGCCGAGTGGACGAGACCAGGTTTGTGGAAGCGCCTAAGTTAGAGGCGATCTGGTCACAGCTCGGCCCCTTCGACCTCTCGCGCGGGGGAGGGAAAAAGGGAGAGCGGAGCAAAGGGGCAGAAAATACAGTCGGGGCCCTCTGCCAGCGGGGCAACGGCAGGCCCGACCTCCTTAGCAGGGTTGCGACAAGGGGCCACGAAAAGTTTTGAGGCGAAAAAGCAAAGGAACCGACCTGGGTCCGACCCGACGTCCCAAACCCTACTCACCTTCACCGACCCCGGCGCCCCACAGTCTACAGCCGCAAGTAACGGAAGTGGGTCACCGGAAAGTCTTCTCCCAGCCAACCCCAAACCCAAAGGGGCAGGCCTTGTTCCACAGGTCAGCCAATAGAGGCAAAGCTCTGTTTAGGAAGTCCCGCCTACAGGGCGGGCCCAGCGCCTCCACCGTGCGGGTCCCCGGGTGCTGGTTGGGGGTGCTCCCATCCCTCTGCCGGCCCCACCCCCGCCGATGGGCCGGCCCGGCTCTCCCTGCCGAGAGATGGGCCGGCCCGGCGGCGCGCGGGCAGTGGCGGCGGCGGCGGCCCAAGATGGCGGAGCTGCAATTGGACCCGGCGATGGCCGGGCTGGGAGGGGGTGGTGGGAGCGGGCTGGGCGACGGGAGCGGCTCGGGCCGCGGACCTCCGAGCCCTCGCCCTGCTGGCCCCACGTCCCGCGGGCACAGCCGCCAGCCCACCGCCGCGCAGCCGCTCGAGCCGGGTCCCGGACCGCCCGAGCGGGCAGGGGGCGCCGGCGCAGCCCGCTGGGTTCGGCTGAACGTGGGCGGCACCTACTTCGTGACCACCAGGCAGACCCTAGGCCGGGAGCCCAAGTCTTTTCTCTGCCGCCTCTGCTGTCAGGAAGACCCGGAGCTGGACTCGGACAAGGTGCGCCCCGCCCTCGGGCGCGCCCAGGCCTTTGGACCCCCTCGTTCCTTCTAGGCGCGTCCCCAGATTCCTGCGACACGCTCGTCACAGGCGTGCTCCTAGAGCCGGGACCCCCCTCCCCGATCCTTCCTCAGCCAGGCAGCTATTCTCGCCCATCCTCAGGCGCTCCCAGGGTTTCTCTCTGACCCCACCCTTCGTTTGGTTCTCAGCGACTCGTTCCCCAAACTCACCACCAGCACCCACGAGATCCCACTCCGCACCCTTTCCCCGTACTCATCTCTACACCTCATCCCAGCCCCTCAGGTCTGCATGAGTTTCTCCCTGGCTCCTCGTCAGCCCATCACTGCATGTGCCAGATACATCCAGAACTGGGTCAGGGTGAGCTAAGGCATCTTTGTAGCTTTCTCAGACTAACTCTAGGACCCTCTGCCAAGTTGGGTGAAAGCCTGGGTTAGAGGATGGCTTCGACTGCCGCAGGAAGTGTTTCTCGTGGTACCACACTTCTTTCCTGTGGTGCTGGTCCCAGAGCTCGTATCTAAGAACAGCCGCTCTTTTGGGTCCATGTTTGAGATCAGATGCACTCCTCGGAAAGAGGTTACCGTTTCCAGTGCAAACCTAACACCTCTGGTTAAGACCCAGGAAAAATGAAAACGAGAATGCTGTTGGGCAAGATGCGTGGCTGTTAACCAAATTGGTGAGAGGACCCAAGATACATAACCCATTTCCAGTTTGAACTGTTGTTGGAATTTTTTTAACTTTACACCTTCGTCTTTTAGTCCCCAGTGTATAGGAATTGACCTTCGTCTTTTAGTCCCCAGTGTATAGGATTACACCACCTATCTCCCATGTAGCATTCAGCCTGCTACCTTGGAACAGTCTTGGGGTTGGGTAAAATTGGTTGATTTCATTCATTCATCTCTTACCTTTCCTCTAACAAATTTCAGATTGATGGAAACCTGTCCTGCCCCAACTTTAAAGCAAAAAGATTCTAAAACCTTTGCTTAGAGAGGAATTTTTTCATCTTCCCTATCTGCCTGATTGCAGTAGAAGCCAGTTTATTCTTGTTTCTCTTACTGTAAAGATGAGTAGGCTTAAAGCTGCTCGGAGCCAAGTCCTGTCAGTGCCAGGCTTCCTCTTGGCACGGAGCTGGGCTGTGTGAGGTACAGCTGGCAGTGCAGACTTCCACTGATGTTGGCCTTGAGCTCAGGAGCGTTGCCAGTTAAACAGGTTTTCTTAGAATCAGGAATGTGATTTGGGGGCAACAGAGAATTCAGAATGTCCATCTCAAGCAAAGATTTAAATCAAAGGAGGGAAGTGTTTTCTTCCTCCCTTTCTTTATAACAAATATCCTACAGAAGAATGTTGGTAATTGTCTCCAGTTAAATATTTTAGAAGTTCAAGTAAATGCCTAGAATAGATGATATGACTGTGCATCCACAATACCCTACCGGGCGTGATCTTGAAGTACAAGATCATAAAGCTAACTTTCTTGCTAGTATCCTGTGATAAGCAAACATGTAGCAAAACTTGCCCTCCCACTGACAGATTGAGACAGAGGTTGAAACCCTGTCCTGACTTGGTCTGAAAGCTCGGTGGTGATGACACCCTTGTGTTTGGTTGGCAGGACGAGACGGGAGCCTATCTGATTGACAGGGACCCCACCTACTTTGGTCCTATCCTAAACTACCTCCGCCACGGGAAGCTCATCATCACGAAGGAGTTGGCAGAAGAAGGTAAGGACCGCGTCTGAACCAGGCGTTTTCAAAGTTCAGGTCGACTTTTTCGCAGCTTTGACTTTCACGCGAGCCTTTCACCGAGCTTTTGTGCAGGTGTCAGTGAAGGCCCGTGAGAGTGAGCAGAGGGCCTCCACCTGCCTAGTGGCGTCTGAGGGAGGCCCTTTGAAGGGAGCCCGTCAGGTCCCGAGCATCCGCCTTCTGGAGGTGGCAGACAGGTTGCGCAGCTTCGCTGACGGCTGAGTTTCATTCTGCACTGCAGAATCGTCGGGCTCCCTTCTCATGTTCGCTTGTGTGCCAGCAGTGAACGTCCATAGCCTGGAGCAGCACATCCTGACAGCTAGTCATTTATATTTCCAAATTTAATTTGGGTTTGCAGCTGTAAAAAATTATAAAGGCTTGGCCTCGTTTCTTTTACGGCTGCTCTCGGGCCTCCTTGTAAATTTTTTCAGCTGACCCAGTTCCTTCTCCGGTCCTTGTCAGGTGCGTCGTCTTTGGTTTTTAGGGCATTTGGACTGTAAGCAGGTCTACATATCTTTGTAAAAGTCTTGACTTGGTCTCATTGAAGGCATTCAGTTGAAAATCGGGGCCTGTCCCTAAATCCGAGGCACCTGACCGGGGAGCGTTAGCTCCGAGAAGAGCGCTGTAATGGCTGTGCTCGTCGGTTAAATGGCTGCACAACGCCTGTTTCAACCAGTAGGAAGAGGACTTGCTCGCTCTCTTTTTTTAATGCCCTCTTTAAAAAAATAATTTTTAAATGCATACAAAAGCACTGGGCATATAGCACAGTAAAGTCCATGTACCCACCATCCGGCTTCAACAGTTGCCGACTCATGGGTAATCTTGCTTCTTGAAAAGAGGAATCTTAAGCATCTTTTCTAATGCGTTTTTAAAAACTTTTATTTTGAAAGGAAAGGGCAAGAATAATACAAAGAACTCCCTTTACCCATGTTCACCAATTTTTAACATTTTTTGTCATATTTGCATTGTCATTCATTCATTCTCTCCTCCTCCTCCTGCCTCCCCTCCCTCCACCCCGCCACAGTTTTATTCCTGAACTATTTGAGAATAGATTCCAGACTTCACCCCTTGATACTTCAATGTGTATTTCCCAAGAACAAGTATATTTTCTTACATAACCACAGTACAGTTATCAAACTGAGGAAATTTAACATTCATACTTTTTACAGTTTATTTTCCAATTATGTCAACTGTTCCAACAATGGCCTTTATAGTAAGATTTTTTCCTGGGACAGGCTCACACATCCCACTCGGTTGTCCTGTCCGAGGCCTTTGGTTTTATTTAGCATGGGATTCTTTCCATGATTGCCTTTTACATTGTTCAAATAATAAGCGTTCTGTTAAATTTGGTCCACGTATATTTATATACACAGCCCACCCCCAGTCATTTTTAGGACAAATTGCGAGCTCGGGAGCTGTCCAGTGGGAGTAGTTCCAGGAACTCGGTGACACACGGGAAGGTGTCCTGCAGCTAATGAGCAGGTAGAGGGGGAGTCAGGGAAGATGCCAGGCAGGAAACCAAGGGCGCAGTGGAGTAAACAGGGCGGGCCTTTCTCTGACTCACGTTGAAGCAGAGGCGATGGGTACACCGTAAGCAGCCAAGAAACACTTCCCAGACTGAGGGAGAGCGAGTAGACTGGCGTTTGAAAAACGCTGTTCTTGGCAAGCGTGCCAACGGCAGCCTCCCTCACTGCCCTCTGGGGTGTTCGCGTGCGTTTCTAACTGCAGTTTGGTCCTTGTTCTAGGTGTGCTCGAGGAGGCGGAGTTTTACAACATCGCGTCTCTGGTGCGGCTGGTTAAGGAAAGGATACGGGACAATGAGAACAGAACCTCACAAGTAATGGGTTTTGAACTTTTATGGGGGAAACTGTCTCAAGTGGCGCTCTGTCCGCGTGGCTGGTGTGGTTAGGAACGGATGGCCTGGCCCCAGGGCCAGAGGTCAGTGAGGAAACACTGTCCCTCTGCCGGCAGACAGCCCGAACTCCACCAGACTAGCTCAGAACAAAAAGTAGAAAAGAAGAAACAACAAAGAAAACCAAACAGCCTCATGTCCCTTTAGAAGAATGGGGAGGTTGTGGCTGTTCGCCAAATGGCGGTGGGAGGAGCCCACAGCACTTAGGTCCCAAACCTGTCCTCTGGGACAGACCGTCTGTCTCCTGCCACACAGAGACCAGGCAAGGTCTTGCTTGCACCTGTTGGCTACTCTTTATTAGGACCAGCCTTTAGGGTATGAGCACATCACATCTGGCCCCAGGCAGCCACTTGAAACAGGTCTCATGGCATAGACTTCAGAAGCTGCTTGTAATTGCGCTTCTGAGAACTTAATACCAGCTTCTCTTTTTATTATGAAGTCTAGATTTTGATACTAACTCACTAGATATGGTAACAGAAATGAAACACACAATTTGCCACCTAGTTTGAGAAGGGAAGACAAGAGGGCATACTTAGCTTATTTTGCCTTCCATCACCCATCCATTAGGCGTCTTAATTGGCCACAATAGCTTCTACTAGGCCCTTGGGATCTGTGACTACTAGAAATTCTGTGCCTTCAAGAAGCTCAAAGTCTAGCAGGAAAAACAAAGGCTCCCTTTCACAGAGGTCGGCTCTCTGTTGAGCATAACCGCAGTAACAGGGCGGGGTCAGAATCCACTCCGCCCGCCCGTCCTGCAGTGTGGCCCCTCCGTCCTCTGCAGTGTGGCCCGTCCTGCAGCTGGCGTGCCTCTTACCCAGCAGATTCCAGGGGTGGAGACTTTCTTGAGAGCTAACCTGTTGCATTTTCCTGTGATTTTGGAAAAGGCGGTCCATTTCTTTTTCAAATAAAAAGTAGTTCCTTGCTTCTTCTGTGTTAGACTTCGCATATCAGAGTTGTCAGGCTCTGAATGGATTATCTGGTTGAATGGCCCACACCTACGGTAAAGAAAGAGCCTGAGCCTCGCTGCCTTTTGTCCAGTCATTTGCCGGGGTGGAAAGAAGGGCTTACTCATTTCATTCTCTTTCATCTGGCCGAGGGCAGAAAGGCTCCTTTAATGTTCACAGATTACTCTCTAGTTGGTTTGCAGATTACCGGTGTAATAGGAGCTAGTGTCGCCAAGCTTTTTGTCATCTTCTCTTATATTTACACACCACCTTTCCCTGTTGTAGAGAATTAAGAGCTTAGACATTTCTGAAAATCTGGTCTTACCCTCAATTTTCCATATTCCAAACACTTTTGCTTACTGTAAATTTTGATGGTGGCATGAATTATGTATTGGGAAACCATTCAAATCATATACCTGAACATTCTAGTTCTTTGCCATTTGGCTAGTTCCTTGAGGGCATTGTAGGATTTCTATTTGATGACAGCAATTAAGTTAATTAGTTCTAAATTCTGAAGGCTTGGGGATTTATACCCAGTTGGAAGCTTTTTTATTCTAGGAATGTTCCGACCTTTTTGATGTTAATTGATCTTTGCATCTCTGAAACTCAGGAAGCAAGGATTTGACATTGTTCCAAGACACCCTCTTCTGCTTTCGTCACACACAGCTCTCAGGTGGAGCTGGCTGTGTGTGGCTGTCCCTTCAGACACGCTGTCTCCTTTAACTTGTCTGTGTTTAAAGCAGACCCGTGTGGCAGATACTTAGATGAAGCCCAAAGCGCCAGGCCTGCCCCGCCTTTCCTTAGTGACTTCCCACCTCTTTCCATGGCTGCCTCCATTCTGCTACTCACTGTCCCCAATATTTTTTGCTTAACGATTAATCTTGGTATATCTGAGAACACCAGTCGTTTACTTTGGAAGAGAAAAATTGAAAACACAATACAGACGTCTTAAATACCTGGGACTTTGGCATTTGTGGCCAATATCATAGATCTTTTGTGATGCTCTGACCTTTGTAATACAGGACACCTGGTTGTTTCAAAAGTGTGTCGTTAGTGCTGGCGGGTGTGGCTCAGTGGATCGAGCACTGGCCAGTGAACCAAAGGGTCACCAGTTCAATTCCCAGTCAGGGCACAGGCCTGGGCTGTGAGCCAGGTAACTGGTTGGGGGTGTGCAAAAGGCAACTGCTTCTCTCCCTTTCTGTCTCCTCCCCTTCCTCTCTCTCTAAAAATAAATAACTAAAATTAAATAAAATCTTTAAAAATATACTTGTCCTATATTTTATATGAAAGAAAAACATTTTTTTTAAAGATTGTATTTATTTATTTTTAGAGAGAGAGGAAGGGAGGGAGAAAGAGAGGGAAACATCCATCGTTGCCTCTCACATGCGCCCCAGGTTTGGACATTTGCTAGGATGCCTCATAGACCTCAGGAGGGTGCTCTCCTTGCTATTACATTTTATTAGAAGGATACACATGAACAGCCAGGTGAAGAGAGACATGGGGCCAGGTTCTGGAGCGCCAGGCCTGGAGCCTGGCCCCGAGCGGCCAGGGTGCGCTGCCCACCAGCGCATGGATGTGTGCACCAACAGGGAAGCTCCCTGAACTTAATTTAGAGGTTTTAGGAATGTTTTGTTACGTAGGCATGATTGACCAAGCCATTGGTCATTGGATATTGAAAACAATCCCCAGCCCGTCTCCCCACTGCAAGTCAGGAGACGGGACTGAAAGTTCCCTCTCATCACGCTTGGTCTCTCTGGTCTCTCTCTGGTGATCAGTCAGTAGCGTACAAAAGACATGTGTCACCCAGGAGAGTTTAAGGGTTTTAGATCCTCTGTGCCAGGAGCCAGGGACAAACACCAAATGTATGTCTGTTGCTACACTACAAGCCTGCGGCAGGCACGTGACCGTTAACCGCTGGGCCGCTTTCAGGGAGTATCGGCAGGGGGCAAACATGGCTTAAACACCCGTGTGTGATGGGATTTCTGTTTAATGTATTATCCCCATAATAAGGTGTCAGCCTCAATAAACCAAAATATAATCTACATTTTCAGCATGCATGTCAGACATGAGCAACTTAAGAAAATGTGACTTTCTCGTCCAAAGTAATTTCACACTATTTTCTATTTAGGAACATAGACGAAATCTAAGTGTAATTTCATTTCTCTGCGCTTCAGAATTACTTTCCCCACTAAGTTATATCCTTGGACTCTTTCTTTCCTTGGATAAGTTTCTATTGAAAAACCACAGCAGTGCTTGTGAAGGGGGATAGCGGGTGGCTGCTAGAAACGGGATTCCACGCAGCTGCTTTCGGGGTCGACGGCGCCGCCTCACGGAGGCTGCTGCCCGCCGGGCGTCCTGGGGCTCCCCCCTCAAGTCTGTCTGTGGCTGTCGCAGGGGCCCGTGAAGCACGTGTACCGAGTGCTGCAGTGCCAAGAGGAGGAGCTCACGCAGATGGTCTCCACCATGTCTGACGGCTGGAGGTTCGAGCAGGTACGTTCCAGGGATGGCAGCCCCGGGGTCTGAGCCCGGGCGTCCGCGCTCTTCAAACGTCACCCTCCTTGGAGGTCGGTAGGACCCCCGCGATCCTGTTCCGAAACACGGGAAGAGAGCCTCTTGGTATACGTTATTTGCTCTGTAGTGCCCGGTGAGTTGGGAGGACTGAAAATAATATCAGATCTCCCAGCTTCATTTCCAGAGTTTCAACCTGATTGTGTCCAGAGGGAGCCCGCCCGCCAGCTGGTTTGGGCTTGAAGTGCCTCTCTGTCTGCTGTTTCTCTCCCCCAGGAGAATCTTTATCAGAAGTGCTTGTTGACACATTCTGGAATAATTAACTAAAGAAAACTGGGGTGCACCTTTCCTGACCCCAGGCTGGGAGCTTTATCATCCTGAATAGTGTGTCATCCAGCCGGGGAGAAAGCTCTGTGAGTGTGAGCGAGGGGTGATGGGAAGGGAATGAACGCAGAGCGGGGTCGGCGCCCGGGCTGCAGCCTCGTGTGTTAGCTTTGTGCCTGTGAGCCTGTGAGCGGGTATCCGGGAGAGGCAGGGTTTTACTCTCTCCTCCATCAGGTGGCAGGATTGTTCAGTTCATCCGCTGCCTTCCAAACCCAGCAGGGCCGGGCTGGATGAAACGAGCCGTTACAATTTGTATGGGTCATGCCTGCTTTTTGTAGCGTTTAAGAGGTTGGTCGACCTGTCACCGTAAACTTTCCTTCTCAAAAGCTCCTTTTTGTGTCTCTGTCTTCAGAGCCAGCCCAGGCGTCCCTCACACCCCTCCCACCGTAGGCCCGCCCTGCCCGTGGGCGTCCTCCTGGTCCTCACTGGGTGCGGCTGCGAAGGTTGCAGGAGTTTTACCTGACTAAAGTATTAAGCAAATGATGTTTAAAAACTTTTTTAAAGTATTCTTTGTGAAACCAATGAAAAATTTTTATCTTATTTTTCTCATTAACATCACATCGGAAAACAAACGGGGCCCCTGTGACGGAGTCACGGGGGTGAGGAAGTGAAGGCACAGAGCGGCTGCGGTGGCTGCGGTGTCCGCAGCCCGGCCGCACAGCCAGCTGCTCGGGCCCCGACCTGGGGCCCCGTGGGCTCGCCGGGGTGGCCTGGCCCTTGGGCGCAGCCTCTCCTTCTGCACATGTATTTTCTATTTAGAATTAAAGCCTGGAATCAGTTTTCCAAAAATGTTAGAACTCCAGCGGCATAAGGCTTCTGGTAGTTGCTCATAATCCTCCTGCTGCTTTCCAGAGCCTTCCGAGCGCCAGTCTCCTGTCTAGGCCTTCTGTTTACAGATCAGCCAGCTCCGCGTAGGTGTTTTGGCTGAAAGAAGTGTCCATTTTAATTCAGAGGAATAGTCCCTTTTGTCTCCGTGTTGGCTAGAAGGACTGCGGTCTGGTTAACCCTGGCTGCTGCCCCGGGGCGTTTCAGCTGCTCGGGGCTGGGGGACTGGGTGGCACTCATACTTTTATCTTTGGAGAGGCCTCACCAATGACGCCCTGATGAGTAATCCAGGAATCCCCTGGGCCTGGGCGGTCCCAGAGAATCTTGCACCCATCGGGAAGCCAAGCGGCAGAGTTCACTCGGTGAGGATTTGGTTAGTGTGGCGCTTCGTGTTTTAACACAGCTGTGTGTTTGCCATGTTCTTGTTTTATCAGCTCATCAGCATTGGGTCTTCCTATAACTATGGAAATGAGGATCAGGCAGAATTCCTCTGTGTTGTCTCCAGAGAACTAAATAATTCTACCAATGGCATTGTCATAGAGCCAAGTGAAAAGGCAAAGGTAAGAAGTTGCTTCACCGGAATTTTGTCTCTGACTCCTTTGCTCCCAGCCCCTCCCCGGGCTTTGCCTGATTTCCTCCTGCCCCTTGTCAAGCCAGCCTAGCGTTTCCCCTTCAGTCGGGTCTTTTGACTGCTGCCATTTAAATCCAGATGTACAGAGCAGTGAGAGGGCTTTAGTTAGGAAGCGTGACCCAAAATAGGGCAGACCTTTCCCAGCCCTGTCAGATCACTGTGAAAAAGAAAAGCTTCTTGCCCCCAATTCCTCCCAGGGCCGAATTCTGACACTCAGAATTGGGAAGCAGCTTGCCTTTATTATTTGAAACTGTTCTCTCTTTTTATTTTCCTGCCTCAATAGAGAAGGTATTTGTTTACCTTAGTGACTTCTTAAGTTACTGGAAAATGTTGTACACTCTTCTCTTTTTCCTCTTGTGGGTCTCCTCAAACACACACACACACGCACGCACGCACGCACGCGTGTGCGCGCCACCTGGTGTGCCTGGATCAGGCTCCTGCTGAGCACGGAGAAGTGGTCCCACAGCCAGTGGGCCCCGCGTGTTCAGTGAGTCTTTTACGACCCAGGTGCTTCGGGGAAGGCTGAGGCTCCAGTCCCACGTTGCATCCCGGGTAACAGATTGTGGGGCTGCTCGCCGGGTCCAGCGGGAAGCTGTGGGTCCCCTTCTTTGCCCTACGCAGTCTGCTTAGCCACCTCAGCCTAAAAGCAGTCTGCACTGAGTCCAAGCCTCAGCCCTTGTCCCCATCTTCCACTTCCAGATTCTTCAGGAGAGAGGATCTCGGATGTAACTCCAGAACCCTACACACCCAGAGTGCAGCCTGGCAGAGTGCCTCTGGGAAGTGCCATCTTGCGCCTGTACAGTAACCGAGCTGCTGCCAAGCTAAGCTGAGCCTGGCCCCCGTGGACAGTTTCTGGTCAAACCGAAGGAGCCCCCACCCCACCCACAAGAACATGAAGACAGATGCCACGTCCGGCTGCAGAATTCCTTGTCAGAAACCTGCTTTGTTTCCTTAGCCAGTGTTACAACAAACCTTCACAACCGCATCTGGGCTGGGTTCCCCGTTGGAGCCCTTATGGGGAGCTGGGGGGAGAGGAAGGCCTGCGCCGGGCCCAGCCTGGGCTCCAGGGGAGCTGCGGTGAGTGCAGGAGGACTGGCCCCGGGCCGGGCCGGGATTTCACGCGAGGGGCCGCGGTGGGCGTTGGCAGCCGGCCGCTCTGCGACTCTTTCCCTTCCTTCTACACATCCCAAACTAACGGAGCAGGTGCCAAGGATTCTAGCTTCCATTTGTCAAACTGAACTGAGGTTTTGGAAGAAGGACAGAGTTGCCAGGGGGCCCCACATTCCTATGAACTAAGCCTCTTTGAGGAGGGTGGGGGCGTCCTCGCTTGTGGGTGGAGGTTGGGGTTCCTGCCCGGTGTTCTGGGCGGCCCCACTCAGCCCTGCCTCGTTGCCTCCCGCGGCCTGGGCCCTCCAGGCGCCTCACTCCCTTCCCAGGAAGCGCGTCGGGGCAGGCGGCACCCTGCCCTGAACCAGGCCGGAGCCCAGGATAGTTGACGTAACTGCTTGCGCAGCCCTTTTTCACCCTCCTTGGGCCCGTCTGCCTTCCCTGACTTTAAACTGCAGTGGAGAACTTTGGACCTTCTGGTGGCTCGGGGTGGGGGCGGCTGTTTCTTTGAGGGTTGCTAGGTGTGTTATGTTGTTGTATCCAACGTGTTCTTTTTGTGATTGTCTGTAGGCAATGCCTTTGACTGAATGTGTGGTATTTGTTTGTGTCTCTCTTGGTTTCCAGCCATGGCGGTCCCGCCCCACAGCCTTTTCAGTGACCCCACGCCTTCCCCACTAGTGTGTGCGCGTGCTGGGCAGCCTGAGGGCTCCCCGCACCCCGGGCCCCACCCCTCACCACCACTTCTTTCTGTGGGGTGCCACGTCCTGGAGGACCAAACGCTTGTTTGACCTGGGGGAGCAAGGCGGTGACCACAGAGCTTCTACCTAGACCTTCTCTTTGAGCTTTGAGTCTTGGAGAGCAGCCACTGAATGCACAGGGGCCAGAGAATCCTCGTTTTCCCTCGATGACTCCCGTGGTGTGGTAAATGGTCCAGAGCAGGGGGAGCCCCGGGAATGCCTCGCCACTAAAAGCCGCCTCAAGCCACTCGCTCCTGGTTCCTTCAGAGCCGAGGTCGTCCTGCTCCGCAGCTCAACAGCCTGCTGGCTCGTCTGGGGTCGTAATTTTTGGAAATGAATATAGACTGTGCCAAACGTCCTTTGAGCTGGTGCCCAGGACTCTCTCTCTGACCTGTTTCTCTGTGTGTAAAGTAGGATAGAAATGTGTGTGCGGGGTGTCTGCCACCGCGCCGGCCCGCACGCCGGCCCCGGGCGTGCATCTTGGCGCCTCAGAAGCCTGGCGCGTGCCCAGGATTTTGACAGCTGTAAGACGTTGCCTACAATAAAAGCAGTCACCTCTTCAAAAAGGTCCAAGCATCATCCTCTCATCTTTCAGGAGGGGAAAAAAAAGATGTCCGTGTGTCAGGAAAAGCTGCTCTGACAGGACGGAGTAGGACAGAGGACTGGGAGGTGCTCTGGCCAATTTGAATAAGGAACTCCGTACTGGAAGGAGGACCAGCCCCTGGGGGCTCGCTTTCCGGGGCTGCCTGGCAACCGGCCTCTCCTCCCCAAGCCAGCGCCGGGGCCCACCCCTCAGGAATGCGCTGTTGTTTTATTTCAGGATCCCAGAGTGGGGCCTGTAGAAAGACAGCCGGATCCCTTGCTAAGTGTTCTGAGCTCTTGGGGAGCTGGCTTTCACCACGTTTCCCTCCTGGTGGCAACCCAGTGACTGAATTGTTCCAGTGCTCCAGAAATCTCAGATGATCTGTCTGTTGTGGCTTCTGGAAAAGTCTTGTACCCAAACCCTTTATGAACCAAGGGGGTGTTTTTCCCGGAAGCCTTCTTCCCCTGGCAGAGTCTGGATGATAACTTCAGAGAGGTCTGGCCATCGGCCTGGGGGCGCCACGTGACCAGTGACCCGCGTGGCTCCAGCTGCCCAGCGGGAAGCGTCTTCCTGCTTCGTTCTCTGCCAGGTCCGAGGCCGCAGGCCGTGCAGGCCCAGGGGCAGCCTGGCATCTCCTGAGTGACCGCCCGCTTCTGTCTTTTCCTCAGAACCTGCTTTTCGCCTTTGCCAGTGCAGTGGGGGCTAGTGCCCTGCAGGGTGACTTTGTTCCTGCGCAGTTTTAACCATTCTCAGGGGTGTCAGGGCGGAAGGGACAGCGATGCTGAGGGAGGCCAGCCAAGAGGACACCTCTCCCCTCCGGCGCGGCCCTGGATCCAGGTGTTCGGGACCATGCCTGTCACTTGTGGATGCCCTTTGTTACTGTTTGTGTGTTTGAAGAGTCTGAAATGGTGACTTTTTTTTTTTTTTTTTTTTTTGGTCAATAAAGACATTCACAGACTTCTGAATCTCGAGAGCTTTGGTGTATGTTTTCCATCCCACAAGCTCCTTGGTTCCCACTCTCACCGCTCATGACTCTCAGGCTGCTCCCTGGAGGAGCGTTTCACCTCTTTCCTTCAGGCTTCGCACAAGGTCCTGCTTTCTCCCGCTGCCAAAGCTGCCTTCTTGCTCCCCACTGTCCTCCCTCTGAATCTGAAGGACCCAGAGGGCGCAGGGAAACAGAAGGTGGGGGCAGGCAGGCTGCCCCCCAGGAGCTGGAGAGGAAAGCGACAAAGAGAGGAGGACGAGATGGTTCTTAAGAGGGAAAAAAGGCCTTCCTGGAAGAGAGTAAGTGACTAGGTTGCCCGTTTGCTCTGCAAGGTAGAAGGTGAGTGAGAGACGTGAAAATTCAGCAACCAAGTGAAGGATCGACCCCTTAAGGCACCAGGCAGGGTGTGGGATCCTCAAACAGCCTTAGGAAGTCTTCCCTCCACCCCCCATCCCCGCCCATCATAGGAGACGATGGTACAAAAAAGGTCGAGAGCAAGGTACAGGCTGTATTAGCCAGGGCCCAACAAGAGATGGAGACCACAGCAGTTAACAGGTTATGGGGAAAGGAAAGGGCCTGGGGACACTGAGGGGTCCCAGATGTAGTGATGACAGGATGCAGTCGTTCCCAGGACCCAGGAGCAAAGGGAGGAGGTTAAGGTTATTAAAACGGGGAGGCAGGCCCGGGCTGGTGTGGCTCAGTGGATTGAGTGCTGTTCAGTCAGGACACGTGCCCAGGTTGCAGGCTGGGTCCCCGTTGGGGGCCTGCGAGAGGTAACTGATCAATGTATCTCTAGCACGTTGATGTTTCTATTCCTCTCTTCCTCCCTCCCTCCCCCTCTTTCTACAAAAAAAAAAAAAAAACACTTTACAGTCATTGTTCTGCATCTGAAAGATTCACATCTATTCCTGGGCTATGAATTCAAATTGGCTTGGCAAGTTAGACAACACCTGGTTTGTGAGGAGCAGCTCAGGCCCTGTGGCCACGTGACATCCCATGGTTAGGTAGCAGGAGCTGTATCTCGAAAGCAGAAGGAGAGTTCATCTGCAAAAGAAGGCGTGGATCGCTTCCCAAACCCGGGAATTCCGCGAGCTGATTCCCCAGCCGGAGGCTCCCTGCGGCGGCGCTGGGACCGGCTCACTGGAGCGCTGCCGACTGAGCTCGGTCAGGAAGGCCGGGGGGCCGCCTGGAGCTCCGTTTTTAATAGTCTTACCACCCGCGTTTCCATCAGTATGGCTTTCCCGTGGAGTGAGCTGCTACTCCATTCAGCGAGTTTAATTCCTTGATCAATTCCCTATACAGTGCAATTAAATTGTTTCCAAGTTTCCAAATTTCATTTTTACTTAAAAATAATTTCATTAAGATTGTTGTTCTCCATGAGATTTTTATGGTGGAAATTTCATTCAATTTAACCAATTTTAGCTTTTGCCCTTGTGGGCTGGCTTTTGAGGTATTACCTCCAACATGTTTAATTTTCCCCAAGTCAATTTGGCAGCTCAAAATCGAAGTCTCACGAATCGACATTTGTGTATTTTTAACTAATGTCAGCTTTCTGTTTATTATTTCCAGGAAAACACTTACCAAATGGGTAAAAGGTTAATAGTTTGTATTTCTCAGCTTTCCTGCGAGGAATCGTGCACAAGCTACCTCCCGGGTTCTTGAGTCGATTTATGTCCCAGGTTGGGCTGCTGCTTCCGGGGGAGCGGCCTCGCATTTCCAGCCCCACCAGCCACTGCCCCCGCGGCTTCTCACGTCGAGCGCTCAGCAGAGTTAATGATTGGCTGGAAGAGGAAGTGAGGCGGGTCACAGGAGAAAATCCTTAGGGCCCCAGGGGGCTGCACCTGAATTCCGTGGGGCGCGAGGGGCTGTTCTCGGAGAGGTTAGTGGCCTCCTTGCTCAGTAGGAGGTGGTGGTTTAGGAGCTAGCTGGAGCAGGATGGGGGTGCCCGGGTGCTCTGAGGGGTCACATGGTGGGGGTGCCCTTTGGCTCCTCTGAGCAGCCTTGGCTGGGGCTCTCGCGCTGACCCTCCTCCCTGCAGCCTTCATTCAGCACTGATTCCAATCACTGGTCCCCACGGGCCGCTACCTGTGGCGAGGGGTAGGAAGCAAGCCTAAACCTTTCCCTGATGTTCAGGAGAAACCTTTCATGCCAAAATGCCTAGATCTTGCCCCTCCGTCCCCAAATCTTCATTCTTCCTGGTTCAAGGGGCTACAGGCTTCTGCATCACCAGGCGGGCGGAGGTAATAATGCCAAGACAACGAATGTGTGACCCGAGGGGACCAGGGCTGCCCTTGCTAGCTGTGTGGACCGCGGAGTCCTTCCCAACGGGCAGCTGACGATGAGGGGGACACGCAGTTCCAGGGTGGAGTGGGGTGCGAGCCTGGAACCATCAGACCCTCAGGCACATGGTGGGAAACCACATCCAAGTGTAAGGGGCATCGCTCACTTCCTTAAACAGTGGTTCCTCATTTGGAGTCGCTAGACCCACAGGGCTCCACAGTGGCAGCCCTGGGGTCCGCACATCAGTTCTAGTGCTTCAAAGAGCCCAAGGGCCAGCCGGCTGCCGTCGGCGAGGCGAGCCTGGCCAGCAAACTGAAACGTCAGGGTTCTCTGCTCACAACTCGGCATGTGCTTCATGGCGGGAAATGTAGAGGGGGACCTTCGTGAGCAAGAGCAGCCAGGGTTCTTAGATAATCTACATCAGTGAGCCCTGCCCCTTCCCTTTCCCCTACTGCGCGGAGACCAGGGAGGGGACTGTCCCCGGAACGCCACCCACACGCTTCTCATGCCTTCCTGCTCCTGTCTTAGCACGCAAAGAATATTTTGTTTCATGTGAATCCAAACAGGCTGTAAACGAGTCTGTCCCCAAGGATTACCTCACTTAAAAATGTTCCGTGTTACTCCTTATGAAAAGATTGTGTTCCTGTGTTGGGTAATTTTTAAATGTCTTTCTGCATTTTCTATAAAAGTAATTTCGCTTTTATTTAACAAATACCTAGTGCCTGCTGCAGGCCAGCCACTGGTCATGGCCAAAGAAGTGTTCATGGCAAATACAAACTCACTGAATCCTCAGAGCAACCCAATAAACACGTCTCATTAGTTTTCCCCACTGTAGGGATAAAGAAACTGAGGACAGAGGTGAAATGACTTCCTGAATGAAGGTCCTGAAGGTGCATGCCTTGGGGAGCCAGGATTCAAACCCAGGCAGTCTGGGTTTTTTCAGCGTTATGCTACATTGGCTCTCCTATAACATATTTGTTACAGAAAATGTATGCAACATAGAAAAAATAAAGAAGAAAATTAGCCCTGGCTGGTGTGGCTCAGTGTATTGAGTGCCGGCCTGAGAACCAAAGGGTCCCCAGTTCGATTCCAAGTCAGGGCACATGCCTGGGTTGCAGGCCAGATTCCTGGGGCGGGGGGGGAGGTGAGAGGCAGCCACGCACTGATGTTTCTCTGCCTCTCTTTCTCCCTCTCTTTCTCCCTCTCTTTCTCCCTGTCTTTCTCCCTCTATTCCCCTCTCTATAAATAAATAATTAGCCAACTGGAAACAAGAACCCAGGGTGGCCAGATCAAATTGTTTAAAAAAAGAAGAAAATAAACCCCCCCATAACCCTGCCTTCTCCTTCTCCCTCCAGCGTCCTAGGCAGGGAGGGCGCCGCCGCAGTTGAAGATGTAGATGGCTGGAAGACGGAGCTGTAACTCCCACTGTGCATTTTCCATCAACCTCTGTGCACATTTCCCAAAGTTACTTTCAAAATGCAAAACGGCTTGTTCGCGGGCTGCCCCATGTGACATCCTATGAATCTGTCCGATAGCTTTGTTTTTCCTGAACCCCCTCTGTAGTATCCTTGAGAGGTGGGTGGCAAGTGGCGAGCCAGCCGGAGCCTCAGGCGTTGCTGCCCCAGCGCCCCTCCCCAGTTTCTCCGGAAGCCAGGACAGTCACAGTAGGGGCCAGAGGATGCCAGCAGCCTCAGTGGCTTCCCACCATCTGTCTGGTCTACGGTGTCATCACGCAGGTTGGGGAGAGCAGGAAGCAGGACCAGAAGGGAGCAGTGCAGGGAATGAGCCCAACCCTTCCCTCGCCCAAATGAAGCTGTTCGCAGGACGGGGTGAAAGAGAGGACGTCGTCTGTGGGAGCCTGGGGTAGGGGCCTTGCCTGGCAGAGCGGGGCCTCTCACCTAAGATGGCTCCGGCTCCACTCGGCACTTTTCCTGCGAGGAAGGCACCTGGGGGCAACCTGGACCGGGTCCCACCAGCTGAAGGAGGTGGATCATCTCCTGGCACCCTGCTGGCCCAGTCCCACCCCCTCCCGCCCCCGCCCCCCCGCCCCCCCCACCCCGTTGCTCCCCTGGCTTCATCACCAGCCCCGCTCCATCCTGCCTCCCAGACCGTCTGGCCTGCTGGCCGCTGCTCATGCCGTCCCCGCTGCCCAGAGCTCTCTTCCACCCTCACTCCCTTTCTTACTCTGCTTTACTTGCTCACTGCTTTCTCTTCCTCCTCTGTCCTGAAGGCTCTGCTAGGAGGGGCTGTGCCCCAGGAAGCCAGGGCTGAAGTCTCCCAAAGCCAGGCAGGGCTCCCTTCCCTGTGCTCCCATAGGGCCCTCCGCATCTGTCCTCCCGGCACCTACGCGTTTCTATGGTGAATTCTCCAGGAGGCTGGGGCAGGCTGGCTACTTCCTCTCGGTCTCTAACCCTGCCACAGGGCAGGTGCTCAAGAAACGCTGACCCGAGGCCCGAAGGACCTCCTCCGGAGGCTGGGACACGGGGCCCACCCAGGTCCTTTCCTGGGACAGGTCGCGCTGGGTGTGAAAGGCCAGAGCATGACCGCTCACCTCCATCCTTCTCCCTTCGTCGCCCCTTCGCTCCCTCTGGCAGCTCGGCCGTGAGCCCAGTGTATCCAGTTAGGTGCAGAGGACCCACC